CTCTAGAAAGCAAGTGTTTTTATCTTCTGAGCTATCTACCCATCTTCATGCAGTAAACTTAGGTTTTGAGATTTTATTTGGTGTGTGTGTGTGTGTGTGTGTGTGTGTGTGTGTGTGTGTGTTCCATGTGTGCAGTTGCCTGAAGAAACTAGAAAGCATCAAATCCCCTGGAGCTGGAGTAACATGTAATGCTCCTTGTGAGTGCTGGGAACCAAACTTGAGTCTTCTGGAAGAGCTGAAAGCACTCTTAACCATAGAGTTGGCTCCATGAGGTAGAATTTAAAGAGCACTTAAGCTATGTGGGACTTGGCATGAGGAGTTATATACACTCTGTGATATACAGCAAGAATTCTTGCCTGTACTTTATCTTATAAACCTTTATTAACATGTTTGTGGTGCCTAACTTATGTACAATTGTGTATCTACCACCCCATACAGTGTCTGAAACAGAGATCCACTGAACACTTGGTAGTACATAACATTCATGGCTTCAGATAATTACCATTAGCAACTTTAGAATAGTAGGACTGTCGGTAACACTGAATATTAATTTTGTCCTAAAATTAGTATCTGAAAAAAAATGCCTTCATGATAGATCTCTAATTCTCCCTATTCTTAAAACTGAGACTAAAATGTAAAATAATTTTGAATATATGGCTAGTGAGTGGCAAAATAAAGATTAAAATGTTAAATCCAGCCAGCTTGGCCCCAAGGTCTCAAAGCCTCAGCCAACAACTCTTTTTATTTTATTTTGAGACAGAGTCTCTCTACATAGCCCTGACGAGCCTGGATCTTGGCTATGAATACCAGGCTGGCCTCAAACTCAGAGAGATCCATTTAGTTCTGCCTCCTAAGTAGTGGGACTAAAGGTGTGTACCACAATATCCAGCTATTTAGTTCACAACTCTTATCCTACAAGCATTAACTACATTCCTCCTAGTTGATTGTATAGCCTATTCATGATAGTCTACATAAATGGTGCCCTAGGGGTTGCACAATCTATAATCCACCTAGCTTTTGGTGGCAGTCCACATAACACATTTAGAAATGAAGTATTGTCCCTTCTAAAGAGGAAAAACACTATGGTGTGATCAAAATCAAAACTCAGGACCCAAATACAGAAAGCTAAGATATGTGTTTTTACTTCCTGGGTCAGCCTGGGTATCACAGACAAGAAGCTTAGATGGCATTAGAGGTGTAGAGGTTTATGGCGGTGAGTAGTAAGAAAAAAGGGAGTGGGGAGCAAGAAAAGGTGGCTAGAGTTTTGAGTGCCAATGCAGTTCTGCCACCTGCAAAGGGAGAGGAGGAAGAAATAAAGAGTGGGCACAAGAGTAGTCATTGCAGCAAAGTTCTGATTGCCCAGGAGTGGAGGAAGTGGGTGGAATATTGGGCAGAAACAGCCCAGTTCTGGCCCACCTTGAGCCTGGGAATAAATGGTCCTAGAGGAGACATCATTAGAGGGTGTCAGCCAACCACAGGGCTTGCAATTGGTCCTTTGTTTCTTTGTTGTCTTCTTGCTTTGTTCACTTTTTTTTTCATTTTGAATTACCATACCATCTACTTTTTTCTGAGTATTTTGCCTGAATGTATATCTATGCACCTGTGTGTGCCCAGTGCTCTTAGAAGCCAGAAGATGACAATAGATGCCCTGAAACTGAAGTTAGAGGGTTTGAGCTACACTGCGGGTGCTTGGAACCAAGCTCTGGTCCTCTGAAAGATCAGCCAGTGCTCTCAGCTGCTGGCCATCTCTATTTTTGAGATAGCATGCCATTCTGTAGCTCAGGCTGTCCTGGAACAAAGTATGTAGCCACATTAGCCCAGAACTCATGCTAGTCCTCCTGATTGAGTTCCTAAGTGATAGGATTACAGGTCTTAGCTAACATGCCCTAGCCAACTGGTCCTCTTGGAAGTCTGGATGATGCTGGGGCAGGCAAGCATAGGAGTCGTAACCTGGGACCCTGGTAGGTGTGAATTATGCATATACCCCTCTTCTACTAATGCACTTGACTTGCTATCTCCTTCACCTGCATATCCTATGAGCACAAAACCCTCTCTGAACAATGCACCTAGAAACCTTAGACCCCCCACACACCTACTTTGAATTACCCATTTCCTCCTCCTGAACAATGGAGTGTGTTTCTTCTTACCTAACAACAATCAAACACAGATGATTTCTGTCCAACTATATTTGAAATGTATCCAGTATAATGACTAGAAATGCCACACCAGCCTGAAGTGGGGCTTGGGGGCATGGACACTAGGGCTAAATGGGAACCTTAAATGGCCTTTGAGGAAACAGTCCTCTACTTTTACCATCTTATGTCTACACATAATTGGGAATGGACATGTGCAGCATAAAAATGATTTTTAAGACTTAATCTATCAACCAAACACACAACCACTCCTCATCACATCCTTTAGCAACCACATCCCTCCTTTTAAACCCCATAAAAGGGAGTACCAAACAATAATCATGGACCTTGAGTACCTTTGCTCACATGACCAGCTGCTCCCTTGCAGTGGATTCTGAGTTCTTTTATTTATTTTTTTGTATTCCAATAGTTTCTATTGCTTTGCTTTAAATAAAGCTTCCCTGCTACTTTGAAAACCAGTAGTGTGAGCTCTTATTTCAAATTTTTGAATAAGAACCTGAAAGCCCCTATACTTCAACTGTGTTCTTTGGTAAAAATGTTGTTCCATGGCTGTCATTCAGTGCTCTCCCGAGGAACCACTTGAGAGCCAACCACCTGAGCTGAGCAGCTGGTGTCCGTTTGCCAATGACTGTTCATTGTGAGTAACAAACAGCTGAGGATGTTGCCTTTCAGAGAGAACAAGTTGGTTTAGCCTTACTTTGAAAGCAACAGCTCATTTAGTGAAAAATATTTTCCTGAGGGGGGGGGGGAAGATCAGCAGGGCATTTCCTCATTTGTTTTCCTACCTTGGACATATTTAACTTGCTATAAAGAAGTTACTATGGAAACTGCTCCCCAACTTGCAAGATAAAAAGGTAAAAATGGAACTCTCTGCTGATATGCAAATGATTAGTCTCAGGAGACCACCTTTTAAACCAACACGTTTTGAGCCCTTTTGGGGGGCTCAAGTGGACAGAAGGGTTTTACTGTTACATTAGCTAAACATGCCACAGGTGACTCAGATTAATTCTAGATATACTCAAACTTGGTGTTGAATTAGGAGTATGAGACACTCACATTTTATTTTTCGGGTAAATGGTAAGCCTGGCTGTGCACTGCTGTGAAGAGCCCAGGGCATGGAAGCTGCTTGTCTGTGCCAAGCCTATTCTGCAGGTGTCCTCTGGACTGGCTTGTTTGGAAGTTAGCTTGCTGAGCTCTTACTTATGCAAAGCAGTTTCTCTTATCTGCCCTGGCCACATTCCATCCTTTGAACCTTGGGCTGGACAATACTTTCAACAGGAAAATTAAACTTTGCTTTTGAAAGCTCCATTTCTCTGATTGCCTCCGTCTCTTTGCCTCCCTTCCCAAACCCACCGCTCCACCTTAAGAGTGATCTCCAGGGCCCCTATCTTAAGGCTTACGTGAGCCAGCTGTATTTTGGTTTCTGCATTTTTGAACTTCTCAGTTTAATTTGCTCTTTTTCAGAAGTGCTTCCAGAGCAGCTTCCAATAACCAAGTGAATGCAAAACTGAATAGGTGTCTTGACTGAAGGTTCTGTAATCAGACAACCTGGGATCATTGCTACTTACAGCCATTGTTTTCCCCTACATTATGAATCTTAGTTGTTTTGTGTATTCTTTTCTTAATGTTCTTAATATCCAGTTCTGTTGTATCATTTCAGTTTTAGCTTACATTCAATCTCCTCAAAGAGCCCTAAATAATCTCTAATGTTATTTTCCTCAGACATCTTTGTCTATAACATTGTTCTTTATTTTAATAAAAAATTCCCTCTAATGAAATTTATTTTAATTGTTATGTTTTAATTGTTATGACCGGTAAGCTTCCAGGGAACAGGAGTCCCAGCTGTAGTCTTCACTTGAGCCATCCTGAAGATGCTCAGTAAATAGTGGCTGTTTTTAAAGTAAACAATAAAAAATATAATTTTGTCTAAATTTAAATATTTTAAATATTTTTATATTTTCATAAATATTTAATTTTTAAAAACAAGGCCTTACTGTCTATCTAGACAGTACCTAGAACTTCCTACATAAACCAGACTGTCCTCAAACTCGTTGGGATTCCTTTGCCTCTGCCTCCCAAGTGCTGGAACTAAAGCAGTGTGCCACCAGGGCAGGCAAAACCTATAAAATTGAAGCTGCCTAAAATGCAATTTAAAGTTACTTCAAATTTTATCACCTACTTTGACATAAATAAGTGAAAACGTGACAAGTGGCAATTAGTTTAGCAGGTCTCAGACAGCAGTATGTATGTATGCTTTTAGAAATTAAAACTACAAAGTTCCTGGTTGTATCACATAAAAAACATATAGGTATGCTGTGTCTATTTAGTGCTGGCTCTCTGGTTTCCCAACGATTATGAGCTGAGTTTCTGGGGCTTGTAACAATGTATCCAAAGAGGGTACCAGGTAAATCATTGTATCATAGAACTAGAGTGGGGAAGGATTTAAAATAAAATTCTTCACTGGTCAAAGCTGGATATTCACCCGCCCCCCAACCCCGTATCCTCCGCACCCCCGCAACTCCCATCCCTCAGTTCAGCAATGTATAGGCACCTGGATGTTTGCAAGCAAATGCAGACAGGTGCGTAAAGAAAGAATACGCGCGCCAATCACACCCGTGTAGTTGTAGTCAAGCTTAGTATCAGCGTTGTGCATCTGAAGAAGGTGAGCATGAGTAAGTCTGATGGCAATCACCTGGAGGCTGTCAGAGGTTTTCCCCCCCCGCCCCCCGCCCGCCCCAAAACCAGGGCGACCTTAGCCCGCCCGCGCTTCAGGAGCGCAGGGCGCAGACTACAATTCCCGGCGTGCGGCGCGCGGCACGGGCGGAAAGCCGGCCACTTCCGCCCCACGCAGCGCCGGTGCGGCCGCGTCTCGACGTGTCACCGGCGGCGCCGTGTCTGTGGCCGGGAGAAGGAGCTCCAGCGAGGGAGAGTTCGCGGCGGTGGGTGGCGGCGGCGACCCGAGCCTGGACCAACCCCGGCGCAGAGGCGTCCCGGGGTCCGTGGGGAACGGCGGAGGGCGGCAGCGGGCCGGGCCGCGCGGGGCGCGATGCTGAACATGTGGAAAGTGCGGGAGCTGGTGGACAAAGCGTGAGTATCCGGGGGCAGTTGCGGCCGGGGCCGCGGCGGGGGTGGGGAGCGTGCGCACGGTGGTCCGGCGCGCGGGGGCGCGCGGCACGCCCCCCCCCCTCGCCCCGCGGCCTGGTGATGGCGGCCGCTGCGGGCCTGGGCCTTGGTCCCTGAACCTCCCTTACCCTCTCGCATCCCTGCTCCCCGGGACGTTCTCACCGCGCCCCTACCCCTCGCCTGGCAGGCGGATGCTTTGATCATACCCAGCCTGAAGTTTGGCCTCCTGGACACCAGGCCGGGCTTGGGGAAGAGGGGACGTGGTACACAGATCCACTGTCCCCCTCAGGGTTTAACCCCAGAGACACCTTAGGCCTGACCCGGTATGCCCCTTTCGCTTGTTAAGAGTCATTTTAATTCCTAGTGAGCCTGTAGTGGAGTGGGTGGGAGGGAGGTGTAACAAGTGGTCATTGTGGGCAGGCTGGAGTTGCAGGAAGAGGAGACTCACCCTTCTGGTTTTTCACACTAAGTGAAAGCAGATGACCAGACAACTTTTCGTAATTGTTTCCCTCTAACTTTCCCACTGCTCTTAGTTTTGAGCAAGTTTCTTGTTTCATTCGTTTCCATTAAGACACCATTTCAATAAAAATGTCTCCAAAGGGGGGGCGGGGAGGCCAAGTTTGTATATCCTGTAGACCTGCTTTTAACTCCTTTCAGACCTAAATAACTCTAGTGCCCTTTGGTATACTGAGGAACCCTTAAGAGCATATCGAATATAACAGTAGGTCTTCTAGGTCACCAGGAAATAAGAGTTTAAATATTTAACCAGCCCTCTTTCTTTTGGTTTTTTGTGATTATGCAATAAGTGTGGTAAGAAAGCAGTTCGTTTGAGCCACCCGCCTAACCCAAAACCAGGAAGTGAAGGAGCTGTTCTTGACCCCAGAAAACAACATATTTTGCAGCAACTTGGATAATGCTTCAGAAGGAACCAGAGTTTGACAGTGCCAATTTGCTTCTCTACCTAAGAAGTTGGTCAAGTGCTTAAAGATTCTGTTTTTCAGAATGGAAAGAACTGGGTTCTTAACTTCAGTATGTCTCTGTTAGGCTGTGGCAGACGATGAAGAGCCAAGGGCTTCCGTTTCACACAATTCTGTATAACGAAACACGTTCATGTCAGCGTGCTTCTGAAAGAGAAGTTTTCTGACTTGGAAGTGAGATAAACCTCATTGAGAAGCTGCAAGTCTAAAGAGTTTCCTTTAGTAGTTTTAGTGTTCATTTTTCCATTAAATGTTCGGAAATTTAAATGGGGCCATTTCACTATTTGTAAACTCTGGTTTGGTTTACCAAAGAGAAAAATCATTGCTTCTCCAGAACAGTGGGTGCTTTCAAGGGTATCATAGAAGAAGTAGAATACCAGCTTAGTTTAAAAGTTGAAAGAAGTCTCTGCAAAACTGCCCTATTTCTACTTCTAAGACAGGATAGCTGAGAAAGCTAGTAAACCCACCACCGCCCCCACCCCAGCCAAATGTGTGGTATTGCAGAGTTTGAAGGGACAGCAAAGTATGTTTCCTTTCTTGTTTTTGCCCAGTATGGATTACAGCCTTGAGCCCACTTACTCAAGAATGTGTAAGAATGTAGCCACCAAGAACTTTTCCAAAGTTCTTGTGTGTACCTGCCACACAGACTAAAACAGGAAGTGCTTAGCATTTGACCTTTGTCTTTAACTGGCAGGAAGAAAAATTCTTTAAAATGTAAGCATTGTGCAGAATCATTGTACAGTACTGTCACTCTGTATGCTTAAAAAAGCATGATGGGGGTGATTGGTTATTAGAGAAATGAAGTTATGCGGTAACTGGCAGAGGAGGAAATCAATATGGCAGCTCTGGTTGCTAGAGTATTGGTCTAAGGTAGGAATAATGAGTTCAGGTTCTGGCACTGCCTCCAACAGGCCCTGTGTGTAATTTAAGACGATATGACTCCAAACTCCAGATTTCTTATTTGTAAAAGATGGTTGTGGGCTACGTGTGACTTCAGATTAATTGGGTACTTGACGAAATAAATTCCCATCAAAGAAACAATAACTAATATTTCATATCAGCAAGCAGATTTTGGAAAATCTCGTTCCTCTGGAGACAGTTCAGTTTACAAAGTATGTTTATTATTATTATTTTTAATGGTAACTAAAAAGGCCTGGAGAGATGGCTCGTCTGTTAAGAGTATATATTGCCCTTCTGGAAGACCAGACTTTAATTCCCAGCGCCTACATCAGGCAGCTCACAATCAAGACCCAAGTGATCTGAAGCCTCTGGCCTTCATGATCACCCCTCCTCCCCCAATACACACACAGAGCAAAAAATGAAATATTTTTTTTTTAAATTTAATGGTAGTCAAAGGTTGAGGCTATAACTCAATGGTGGAGGACTTGCTTCCTTCAATCCCAGTGCTGGGGGCAGCGAGTAAGTTTTCTTAAAAGCTATGGATGAAGGCACATACCTAAAACCCTAGCACTTGGGCAGTAGAAACAAGCCCCTTGGACACCAGGTGGGTTAAGGGAGACCCTGTCTCAGGAAAAAAAAAAAAAAAAAAAATGAGAATGAGGGATATAGCTCAATGGTGAAGTGCTTGCCTGTAGAAGTTCTGGGTACGGCAAAGTAGAACCAAAAAAGGATAGCCAATAAACGTTACATTTAAATGTTTGGAGCAATCAATAAGTATAGCTCATGACTCAGGAAGCCTTAGACTGTTAGTGTATACCCACCAGCAAATGTGACTTACTTCAAAAAGATAAATATATTCTTTCCAACTGTTTCCCTTCCCCAGAGCAGCCCTTGGGTTCTGTGTGGTGGCAGTGCTCAGAAGTAAGGAGGGGTTTCAAGTGCTGGCTGGCCCTTGATAGTCTGGAGCCTACTTCTGGGAAGTCAGGGTATAGGCCCCTGTGTGGTTTCGCCTCCTGGTGGTATGAAATGGGTCTAGAGCAGAACATAAGATAGCAGGAAAGCAAAGAAGGCCACATAGGCCAGCCAGAGCCTAGGGCACCCATTTTCCACATCTTGTCTAGTTGCTCACAAGGCCAGCTGTGGCAAGGAAGGTTAAGTGAAGAAACTTCCAGCTACAGCTAGCCAGCATTGTTATCTTTGACCTGAATTCAAAACTGTAGTAAATTGAACACATTTGTAATTCATAACCCCATACAAGGTATGAATTGAAAACACTGTAGCTCTGTAGTGTTTTTTCTCTGGGAATTTGGGGAATGTAGCAAAAGTGACAGGCATGGTTCTCATACAGAGAAGCTGCTGTGGCTCTGCAAGCCAACTAACCCTCTTTCCTTACAGGGTGTAGTGTGTTTCACCAGCAGCCCTTTTGTAGTATAGTTGTTTAACGTTTTAAATTATTCTCTCAATTATAGATCCTTAAGTTATTTTCCCTGCCATACATTTCTTGTTTTTAGTTCTGGATGTTTAGCTAATGTGATAGAATTGTATGCACTGCTGTTGTGGTCTGACTGACCTAATAGGGAAACTCTGTTCTTCATTCAGTTGTTTGAACAAAGTGTGTGCATTTGTTGTCTTAGATTAGTCCTGTGGAACTCATGCAGTGTGGTCCATGCTTGGCAGAGGACTTTGCTACAGTCCACTGCAGTGGGAACCCTCCTAGTTTTGCTTTTCTTTCATCCCCCTCACTCTTGTTTATCACCGACTTGTCAGTAAGTCTCCATTCTGTTCTTGGAACTTGAAATCAAAGGTAAGAAGGTGCTTGTCAGCTCTGATCTTCCGAGAATGACTGCTGTTGTTGAGAATTGCTGTCGCTGAGACGATGAATGAATTACCCGTTAGTGAGTTCAGTACTACTCCCAGTGTGCCTCTTAAAGGCCTTTACCTGCCCCATACATTTTGGTGTGCATTTCAGTTCTAGTTTACAAGTAGCTTTTTTGTGTTTACTAATATGTCTACTACAGGTACTAAGTAAACATATTTTAGGCAGCACTTACTAGTCATGCTCCTAGTTTTTCAATATGGTTTCACGGTTGTGTGTGTGTGTGTGTGCACGCTCCTGTATTATTTTTCATACTCTGATACTCAGTAATTCCTTTAAAAGAAGAATGGGGCTGGAGATGCAATTTAGTTGGTAAAGTGATTAGTATTTAGAAAGCCATATTTGAAATTTAGTGTAATAAAAAGCTAAAAATAAGTGCTAGTGTCAAAGATCTAGATATGGAAAGTAAAATAAAGCCTCTAGATGATAAAGTTCTTTATGCTTCCTATATTCATTCATGCCTGCTTTCTCTTGGGGGTTGGCAAGGCAAGGTGGGACATACATAGTCTTGTGTAGCCTAGGATAGTATTTTGAAATAAATCCCAGATAGGGAATCATTTTATCTACTCTAAAATGAATCAACTCATAAAAGGTGAGGAGTTGTCTTACTTATTTGTGTGGTATTGGTTTGAGACAGGGTCTTGCGGTATAGCCCTAACTGACCTAAAACTCACTGTACAGCTCAGACTGGCCTCTGTCTCCCTGCCTCAGTGTCCAGGGTGCTGGGATTAAGGTGTGAGTTCCCATAATCTGCTAGGAGTCATTGATTTCAGTCATGACCACAATACCATTGTCATCCTCATAAATAGAAGGCGATTCCTTGGTATCAAATGTCTGGTCCTGTATTTGTTAATTGCTTCATGATCCTTTTTTTTATTTCTTATTTAGTTTGGTTTTTGAGACAAAGTCTGCCTATTAGCCTTGGCTGGCATGGAATTTGCCACTGTGCCTGGCCATCTTGTTTTTTAAGAGGGGGTTGGTGGCGTGCATGTAAGTGCAGTCAGTACCCATGAAGACCATAAGAGGTTGTTGGATCACCTGGAGCTGGGGCTACAGTCAGTTGCTTGAGACCAAACATTGGTCCTCTGCAGAGCTGCAAACATTTTTAACCACTGAGTCACCTCTCCAGTCTTGTAATTTGTTTCTAATGTTTGGATTGGTAGATACATCTCTTAGTTCTCCTTGCTTCCTCTGTAATACTGCCAGACATG